TGACAAATAGACGCATCACATCAATACAAAGTGCCAGAACCTGATGACAACACAATCTGAAACCGTCTTGACCTTTTCCTCTCGCACCTTCATTTTACGATTATTGTTTTTTTTGTTTTTTGTTTTTTTGTTTTTTTTTTGCAGCATTCCTCTTTTAGACAGTATACAATATTAAGTGACGTGCTTGAAAGGGAAAGGAGATGCCATGACACAAAGGAGGAGGGATATAAAGTGCACAGACAAGGTTGCATGCCCGCAGAACACAGACAGAGAGCTTAAAATAAACAAAGACAAACAGTTGGGGAGATTTGACCTGAAGGGAGGGAACATGGAAAAAAAAAAAACTATGAAAGTTACCTCTTAGTGCTTTATGCGACAAAAGAAAAAATATGTGTGCACTGCTCAGTTACAAAGCAGCTCTGACTGACTCTTTGGCCGTGACCTTTTCTCTACTTCTTCTGCTGTGTTTTTTTGTTGTTGCAGTTTGTCATTTTTTTTGACAGCTTCAAATCATATGATTATTGTAGTTTATTAAATATGATAGATTAATCAGTAATAATCTGATGTGCAAAACGATAACACCAAAAGCAGCCATACCTATATAATGATGAGTACTGTTACTGTTGTTACTTAAAGAAAATTTTGATGATGATAAGAGAGAGATGTGAATATTTCTTCCTCTGCTGCAGCTGACTACAGCTTCAGAGTCCACAGCAGTTGTCCTTGATCATCCAATCATGTTCTAATAAAGAACATGCAGAGATGCATAGATGATTTTGTAAATGTGCTGTAGCAGGATACACCCAATGCATTGTACATTAATGCTCAGCAGGTACAGTGCATTGTAGAAGTCATCCAGTAATAAGTTTATATTTCACAAACAAGGAGTAACAGCTCAGGGTAATTCTGCTGTTGATGTGCCACAGTACACTGGAGCAGTGTTTTGTTTTAGATCGCGGTAGGTATGACTGGGTAAAGTAATATAAAAGAATGTCACAATACTTTTTGCAATAAACCAAATTATCCCAGCGAATACAATATTAGCAACATTTCACCAGAGGCAAGAAAGGAATAATCATAAAACCATATGTTTTATGTTTCTGGCTACACTGTAGGACTTTTAACTTTTGTTTGTCTGTTCAAATTCTGACTATGATAAATATAAATGGAGATTACCTTTCATCTATTAGATATTTATTACCTATCAGTTGCTTTATTTCTTACACTCGTAAATAACCATAAATAACCAATAAGCAAGAACATTTGTTAGTCTAATGCACTGAGGAATATGCCTGTTATATTGTGTTTCTATAGAACACAACATTACATACGCTTCCTCAAGTGGTCAGAGAAATGGTTAAGTGGTATTTGGTGTTATTCAAATGTGTGATAAACTGATAAAAGAACAGAATTGTCTCAATATTTATATTTATTACACCGCATATGTGATTGAGGAAATAAAATAAAATGAAATGGGAACAAAACCGGGAGGGGACCTCAGTCAAAAAAAACAGCATTTCTGTTTTTTTGTCTACATAAGGTTTCAGTTTTGTGTGTTTCTTTCACAGGGTGCAGGGTATCAGCGTGGCCTTGGGTCACAGTGACCGATATTTGTCATCACACGAGGAGGGGGAGAGCTGAATTATTGAAGGCTTGTTTTTCATCAAGGTGAAATTAAAGTAACACACACACACACACACACACACACACACACACACACACACACACACACACACACACTCACCCCAGGTAGGGACACAAAGTCTAAAATGAACATCCAGCCTATTACCCCAGGGTGTGGGTGTTCTTGCACGTGTGTAAGTGTGAATGTTTACCACACTACATCATACACATTTCTCACTTTACTGAATCTATCTCCATACTGGTGGATTACAGAGCAGTCAGCAGCAGTAATGTTCAGTCTACAGGCTGCACCAAAGAGTTAACCTTTGGCCCTAAGGGGACCAGGTCTCTGACAGGGAAATGATATTGGTCATCAGGACTAGCTGCCCAGTGTGTCACAGAAATATACTGCATTCAAAACCCCGTTTTTTTTAGATAGAAGAATGATTAGCAGTATGTACTGTATGTATGAGGGGATGAAATGAACCATTAGGCCGGTAATTAAGAAATAGTTCATGGCCCTCATCATGAGCTGTTATGAAAATAGCCCTAATGACTTCTAATTGGATGTGTTCGGCTAATTTATCAGCTGTAGATCAAACATGCGTATCTACAGTGATCGGTGAAGTACGTGTGTGACAGAAGGATGGAAGTGTGGCTGTAGGCGGTTAACGAGAAATTATATAAAGTAACCACAGTGGATCTTTCTGTGATGCTGAGATGTTCAATGAGTCAGTTTACACTGAGACGTAACAGCAGCGGCCCATGAAGGGAACAGCTTGTACGCTGAAAAGCTTCTTGGCTGAGGATGCATGTGTGCTTTCGGAGAGCCTTTTGTCCACGGATTAAGGAGCTGAAAGTGATTTTCAGTTTTGTTGACACAATCAAACCAGGAAACGTGTTGATGAAACAACTGAGCAGTCAAGTGTGGGAGTCTGAAATATTATCTTCTGGGGATCTTTGTGTGGAAAATAGAAGAAAATGAACAAAAAAACCCTTGTTGCCTTTTGAGGCTGCAGGATGACAAATATGTTAAAATGATTGTCTTACTCCCTGATTCAGCTGCTGACATTGCCTTTAATAGAGAGGCTGTTTGGGTGTTGTAGATGTTATAGTGCTTCATTTTGCTGTGCAATGTATTTCCCTCTGTTCTCTGCCTTCTCAGTTTCAAAACGACACATATTGATGTGGTACAGGAAGATAAAGTGTCTGCAGAAGCCACACGCCCAAAAGTCAACAGGAAGTGAAAACCAAGGCAGAATTGCGGCACATGCACACAACACCAATTAGACTTGCATACGCTAACACCACACTAGAGTATGGCAATCATTACTATATTTGTGTGTTACTGTAGCAACTTAACTGATGGTGTGTGACCTGACATTTGAAACAAGGAATCGCATTAGAATGTACTGAACTATGCATGTTTTAAAGAAACAAATAAACATAAGTCAAATGTCTAACCAAAATGGATACATTAAATTATGTATTGTGCATTTGTAGAGATCCTTAAATGATAAGAAGAAATAAATAAATAAGATATGTACTGTAAATAAATAAACACGAAAAAGAATATAAAAAAGATTCCAAATGATAAGTTAGGCTCTTTTCTTTTTTGTTTTGAAACGATACACTAAACTATATATGAATTTACCAAAAATTAGGTCACTTGAAAACATGTATTGTATGCAAAAACCTGTCTAACTCTGAGGTTTGACTGTGTGTCTCTTGTGAAATTCTCACTCTGAAACTAAATGCCATCATTGAGGCTTCCATGGAACTACTGCATAGCATGTGAAATGTGAAAAGAACAAACCAAAAGTCCTCCCACAAAAACAACCTAATAGATCATTTGTAAGTCCCTGCCATTTGACAGCTTAAAACAAAACAAACAAATCACACCGTGTTTTCTGACCTGCCACCTCTATGTTCAAGATTGGTCAATGGACTGTGGTCATGTTTATAAGAAGCACTGACTGCTGATAGGAGACAGGGTGCTAACCCTGGTCTCTGGTTTTAAAGTCACACCCCTCTACCCTCTGATGAGGTCACCTGTCAGGGAAACATATACAACCTGCAGCTGCTATCACTTTGCAGCGACCGTCTCAGAAAAAAAAAAACCACCCTGTGAAGAGCCTCCTTCTCAAATGTGTCATTTTTTAAGATGCAGTTTTCCTCTTTTGTTTCACCATAAAGTAGCATAAGATTTCGAAGAAGAAGAAAATCACCCTGTTCCACACTGTCTGACAGTATCACATCACTGTATCTGTACTGTATCGTTCTGTATCAGTATATACATCGAACCCAAGACTGTGATTTGTAAAGCTGTAATATTCAATCAAATAGATATGTTCCATCTATCTTTTTCATCCTTTTAAATACATACACCCAAATTTCAACTTGAAATGTTTGGTATCTTTTGAAACTTTGTGACTTCCTGTCTTCCTGATTTGAATAATACTTGGCAGCACAGCATGAGTTTGTAGTGACTGACCCAACAGAGGGCTTTTTAAGACTTCTAAAAGATGGATGATTCCGGGATGGGTTGCGCTTTCTGAATGCATTTCGAGTCTTATTTAATTAAACCCAACTGATTGGCAAGTTGCCATTTGATAAAACCCACCACTCTTTCATCAGAAATCCAAGATGATCACCCAAATAGCTGAAATTAGTATATTTCCATCCTGTGGAAGAATGAATGGCATACACACCACTGCTGCCTAGTCTGACTTTTCACTCGCACTCACAGAAATCAGATGCAAATTCTGGGGGCACTGCAGGATGTCCCGCATTTAGCTGAGATGTACAAGCTTTCATACAATCAAAGACTTGTCCAAGTTACTAAATGAATATGGTTTAACACTTAAAGTTCAGTGTACCTTATCTTCATTAGCAGAAACCAGCGGCAACATCACAACAGATTAAGAATCAGTGCCCTGATCAATCATTAACTACATATATAAACTGCATTGGGAAAGGACTCCTCGTTTGAAGTAGGTGATAGTGAGCCTATTATTACCTCTGAATGAGTTTATAACCAGCTTTTTATTTCAGTGGGACAAAAGTCAGTGATCACCACTTTTCTTTACACCCGTCCTAGTTACTGTCACCACTCACTCTATTCTTTCAACACTGTTTGACTCTGGCCAGAAACCAGCAACCTCACATGTTTCATATATTCATATTTTTATCTTCCTGTGTCGACTCGTCATCTCATTCTTGTCTTTTCATTTCCTCGTACCATTGGTCCCATGAGCTTTACACAGGAAGTGTCACGGTCTGCTTTGCCGCTGCTGCTGCTGCCGCTCATCTCTGTTTTGTCTCCCTCCCCGCATGCAAACTTGGTGCAGTATCTCACCCACAGAGAGGAACTGTGGTTCAAACCCATGGTTCTCCTCCACAGCAAGAACCTATCCCCCTTATCTGGCTCTCCTCCTCTGCCTGACTGAATCTTCTCTCAGATGATCCATCACCTGCAGCTGATCTTTTTAGCCACACTGCAGCCACAACATGAGCATACGGAAACTGAGTGAGTATTTGTGTTTGTGTGTGTTTGAGTAAATCTGTGTGTAGAGCAGCTGCGCCTCGTTTGTCTGTTTAAACATACAGTGAGCCGGGGTGTGAGCAGGTGGGTTAACCAGTGCTGATGGTGGAGACACTGCCATGTCAGTTTTGCAGTGTTTTGGTGATAATGATGACACGCAAGAATCAACCTGCAACTGAAATGATTTCTCTTGAGAAAGAAGATTTTTTTTCAGTTTTATTAAGTCAGTTAAGTTACATTGCTTAGGGTTTATCATCTTTTAGTACTGTATATGATTTAAGTTACAGTATATATTTTTAAAACCAGGTCTTTGCTTCTGTGTTTAAAAAAAAAAAAGTAATTAAGTCCAATTAGTAGCAGGAAAAAGGAAAAAAAAAAGTCCCCTTTCGTGCCTACTGGTATTGACACATAGAGACAACCATGGAAGACCATATGCACCACACACTCACATCTCACACGCAAATGATACATGAAAGTGTACACTTCACTTAATGGCTACAAATGAACACTAACACTCAGTGGATAGATGTGAGGGGAAGCAAGCTGGGCGAAAATTCACAGTAGGTTTCACACCTTTACACTTACTTATTTGATCTCTTATTGATAGCGTGCAGCTTTAATTAACTCAGCATCTCTAAATTCTCTTCCCCTTTTCTGACTGCGTGCTGACAAATAAGAAAAAATTCTAACCTCATGTTATCATTGTCCCTCTACTCCTTCAATCCTTTCTCCTCCCAAGGTTTCAAGTGGTTCGGAAGCCTCACCAACCTCTCCTTTCGCCGCTCCAGTGAGAAATCTGACTCCAAGTCGAAGTCTGGGTGTGTGCCTGGAGATGGCAGTGACTGTGCTACTGTCTCCACTAAGATTCTGGCTCCAGTTGCTGAAACGACAGTGGACGACCTGGATGCCATGCGTCCTCGCACGGCCAGCTACGTCCGCTCCAGTGAGAGCTACACACATGTAGGTACGCTGCCACGGCTAGTGATGAAGAGGAGGGACAAGAGTCAAAAAGGTAAAGCAGCAGAAATCCTGATCAGCACTTAAGTGATGAATACTGCAACACAGCAATTAGTCTTGATTCTGTTCTGTGTGTTTATTTCCGATGCTCCCTTCTTCTCTAGGAGGCTCCAGCAGCAGTAAGAAGAGCAAAGACAAGAGCAACCTCAGCAGAAGTCAAAGCCAGAGACCTGCAGGGGACCAAGACCGTGACCCCCTGAGAATCACAGCCGACCCATTCAAAGTGGCCCGGGATGAAGCTGAAGTTGAAGCTGACACTGGGCTCACCCGGGACTACTTCACTGATGACAAGATGCAGCTCAAACCTACAGGTGATACCAATGACACAAACACCCAAAGCGTCACCTCCGGACCCACGGATGTGCCGCCATCTGGTGGCTCAAGTGCTACACTCCAACCAGAGGCTTGTGACGAGCAAGAAATCACCCAGGCAGGTGCGGACTTGAACCCTGATGAGACTTCGTCACCTCCACTCAGCCAGGGGAACGATCAGACCAAGACTCATGAGGATGTTGGGTTAGAGCCCGGGGTTGTGTCTAAAACAGTGGAGGTGGCAGAGAGCAGTGGACTCACTGAAGGAGCAGGTGAAGGAAACCAAAAGTCTGACAGCATTTACTGGTGAGTTTTTTTTTTCTTTCAAAAATTGTTAAAATGTTTAATTGTTAAATTTGTGTAATTACTGACTGGGGCCAGGGTGTACCGTTCATTAAAAGGCTCATTCCTGTTACAGTTTCACCCAGATTTTGTGGTACACATAGAAGGCTACAATCTAACTAACAGATGTTTTCATGACACTATATGAGGATCATAAAGGAAAAAAGCACATAAGCTTTGTTTGTTGTAGTATTGAACACAGGCCCTGTATCAAAATCAGTGCCGGAAACCAAGTACGTTTCCTCAAGTGCCATACTTAATTACTGTTGAGGTATTTGAAGTTTGCTAGAGTATTTCCATTTTATGTTCATTTATACAGTACGCACATGATAAGGTGGAGGCGGAGTTTGAATCAAGGGTTTTTACTTGTCATGTTTTTTTGGGCACTTGTCCTTGGTTAAAGGATCTGAGCCTAGTTTTAAGCCCTGCACTGTTTCCGTTTTGTGCTTACATGTTGTACATACCTGGTTACAAAAACTGTACAAGTTGCTCAGAGAGAATTGGACCAGGGGGGCCCAGAGGGACAGTTTTTCCCCGGGCCTCTATGTCAGGTTCACCGGCCATGCTCCGTGCGTCAGCCAGGGGGCGTAGATCTGCGGTTTTACCAAAAAAAAAAAAAAAACTTACCGGGAGAAAGTTGGCTAGTTGGCACTTAGAGGTTTGTGCTGGCTTTGCCGTGTGCCGGACTTGTCTCAGGCGATGGGTGTGAGGTGAGAAGACAACACGATTCATTACTGCGTGTGTTAAAGGCAGCAGGTAACATTGATTCTATGTATTGATCAGAAGCAGCTGCTTGAAGGCTGCCGCTGGTTTGATGTTTGCCTTGATTTGTTCTGACACACAGGAGACAGCGACAGAAACCAGCCTTTGTGTTTGCCTATCGTGCGCGTCTCGTAAGGTAGTAATGTGAAACAAAGTGTCAGCAGAAGTTTCTTCAAGAGTTTCTTTTTTTAAGGGAAAATGTTCCGTAACTCCTAAGAGGTGGGCACCCTCCTCCTCCTCCTCCTCCTCCTCCTCTCAGCCGAACAGATTGCATTTTCTCGCTGCTTTCCCATGACATGCCGAGGTCTCACTGCCTCCAATATTCAATGCATGATAGCAGAGTTCGTGTATCGTGTTACAAGGGGGGGGGATTTGCACTGCGTGTGTGCGTGCGTGCCCGGCTACAGGCTGGAGCTGGAGCTGGAGCTGGAGCTGCGCTGGTCTCTATGGGCTGGCATGTGTGAGCGTGCAACATCAGCCCCGTTAGGTCAGCCCGGGGACCGTGGGAATAAGAGTTCTGTAGTGTACTGCAAGTTCAGTATAGGCACATCAAAGATCTCTCTCTCTCTCTCTCTCTCTCTCTCTCTCTCTCTCTTCTGTCTGTCTGCTCAGCCCTAAATCATCTCAATCTTTTTTGTCCATTCCTCTCTCCTGTTCTTCTTCTGTCCAAACCTCAGCTCCTCACCTCCTCACCTCTTCACCTGGTACTTTTGGGGGAAAAAAAGCTTCTTCTGGTGATTCTCACACAGTGTATAGTGGTGATTTTTGGTGGCTGGTAAGACTTGGCTCAGAAATCAAATGCTGTAATGGTGTTCCTTAGATCGTCAGCTCAGCTGCTGTAATTATGGGTTTTGCTCTTTCGTCTCACTGTATGGTGGAGCAGAGCTCTCAAAGTGTTTGGCACTCATTTGAAAAAGGGGAGGATGGAAGGATGCCCCCCCATGTTAACTCATGTCATAGCTAGAGGTGAAAAAAGTAGTTGATAAATTGATTATTCCATAAACAGAAAATTAATCAGTTGCTGTTTTGATGATTTGATGCTTTTTCTTTTGTTCATATATGACAGTAAACTGAAAACCATTTGTTTGAGCTGTCGATCAGCTAAAAAAAAATATTGGAGTCAGACCTTGGAGTCTGCTGTGTTGCATTTTTATAGAGCTGAATCTGTTATAGTTGATTGTCAAAAATTGATTGGCTCTGTTGATGATTGATTAACTGTTCAAATTGGTTTTTAAAGCAAAAACGCCAAACGTTAGCCATATCCAACTTCTCACTTGTTAGGATTTGCTGCTTGTCTTTGTCTGATGTGATAGTAAATTGATTATTTTTAGGTTTTGGGACTGTTGGTGGGAAAAACCATCTATTACACCGTACTGCTTTGGGCTTTAGGAAATAGCTCCAGATGTTTTTTTCCAGATAATGATCCATACATTAATTGATAATGAAAATGATAGTTTGTTACCGCTGTACATTCATAGCCAATTTCAAATGAATTGAATTGTATAGGCTAACCCTTGATGTAAACTGCAGCTCTGGTGTGCCATTTGTTTTCAAAGCTTCATGTATGATTGGTATGTTTTTACATCTACAGCGCAGTCACATTCTTTCATCTCATTCCTTTTGAATAAATGCTGATATTATCAGCGTGAACGATGGAGAAAAATATTTTACATTTGTACAATTTTTTTTTTTTTTTTAAACTGAGATCCAGCACAGGAGCAGTTTGGGAGGGGAATGTAGCGCTCCTCTGCCGTGGGACCCATTAACATTCCCGAGCCCAATGCCATGATGTGAGCCTTTGATCTGGCCTCTCTGTGGTCATGTGTAACACAGTTTTGCTCTGGGCCTTATGAGACCCATCATGCAACTGGGAACTGTGCGGATTGATCTAAAAACTTGTCTGGGAGTGTAATTGCCCCTTTTTGCTCACGCCTGCTCCGTATCACAAAGCCACACAGCAGTACCCCACAGTGCGGCTCCCAAGACTACAGCACAGCAGGGTTTTTGACACATGATCCGAATCCATCATGAGCGTAAAAGTGTGAGTTATGGTCCCCGAGAGATTTGAGAGGCCGGCTCCATATTCAGCAACCTCAGACGCTCAGTGGGGTTTGTTATCTATCCATTTTCCATGAGGCTGCAACAAGATTTTACTCACTGGAGAGGCCCCTGCAGAAGTGGGTCATGGGAATACAGGCATGTTTTTTGTCTGCACCTGTTACAGGACCAAATCAAACACAAAAGGGCAAGTGTGTGTGTTGATACACACACGTTTTGACAGAGGTTTACAGTCTTTTTCCTGTTCAACATTTCCTCTGTTTTGTCTTTTTTTCCACTAACTGTTCTCTCTTTTGTTTTTTTATCTCTTCAGCCACATGGAGCCAGCAGAAAGCCAGGCTGAATATGTCCAGGTAGGTCCAGATGTATGTTCATCTGTATGTGTCGTCTCGTGTCAGGGTGTATGCTCTCAGATATGTGGGTATTATTCTGTGTGTGTACATGCATGAAATTGAATATTTTCCCCACAGGAAATCTGTCTCACACAATGAAACAAAGGTCCGCATAATTATGGCTAAAATGATCATCAATGCTCCAAACTGACAGACGCGATTGTCACTGATGATTATTTTCAGTCTCTGTGAAATATTAGATGCTAAAGCTAATATCCAACAGCGTTATCCTTAAAAAAAAAAATGTTACTCCATACATTTTTCATCTCTTCTTAAGCCAAATGTCAAAAGATCAACAGTACTAGTGCTTGATTTAAATCTCAGCACCTCTCTGTCCCCCAGTGGTATCGATGATGAATATGAGAACGCTGATCATACGATGATGATAATACAAAAACTTTTCCGCTTTTTTTTTTTCCTGCTCATAATAATCCCACCCATCACTGTGTCTCTGTGTTCTCCCAGCGACACACATGCACACACATTTAATGCCTGACTTACCCGGTAGATATGAATTTCAGCCTAAATGAGCAATGCAGTTTGAATTTCCTCCTCCTTCGCGTATTATTGAATTAGATTTTTTTAACGTGTGCGCTCAGATGTAATTGCGGCTGATTATTAGCCCTTAGTCCTCAACAGTTATTCTCATTTCAGCGGGCTCACTCTGCATTTAGCCTAATTCAGTCTGCCATTTAGCTAATTGAATTTGGAGCGAAGCAGTGCTCATGTCAGCAGTGTGCAGCCGGGCCGGCAGTCTGCGCTGCAGCCAGTAGGTGGGGCCATATGCTCGAGTTGTGAACTCCTTGAAGATCAGAGAGCATGTGAAGCTTGTTTCCTGACCTTGGAGGCGGATGATAGGCAGTCATACATCCTGTAAACTACAAACACGCATAAGTTCAAATATTGAACTTCAAACTGAGAGCAAAAGTGGGGAGGGAGAGCAAGAAGGTGAGGCTCAAAAAGGAAGGAAGGAGGAAGTAAGAGAGAGGGAAGGACAGACTGAAGTGAACTGTTGGGCTCTTGGGATCTGTTTTTCTATTGATTATACATCACAGGTGAGCTGGTAAAAGCCTTCTCCTATGACCCTGAGCTGTCTTCCTTTTGTAAAACAAATGCATGCAACTTCCCCCTGGCCACCACAGATTGACTACAGTTAAATCCCTCCCCTTGTTAGGATTTTAACAACAGCATGTAAATAGTGCGCTTGCGTCAATTTCTCATAAATGAGAATATAGGCTTGTTTTACTGCTTCTTTTACAAGCATAACTGTTGTAAACAAAACTTTAATAGCGTCGAAAAACCATTTATGAATTACATTTAGATGTCTAGATTTAGTTCAGCCGACTTGGTGATTAAGTAGATAAGTTAGATGAAAGCCTAAACACCTCATTGGATAAGTGGCATCTCTTTCCCCCTGAATGTTAATGTTTTATGTGTATATGTTTTTTTGTAATGTTAGTGATATAGTCTTTATCTCAGGCAAAGTGGCCCACGTTCATTGTAAAACACTGCTGTGTGTCATGTCAATCAAACAGACTTAAAATGAACAAAGGCTTCCTGACACAGAGCGCTATGTTTACTGTTTTATAATATGAAGCAGTTTATGACATTCTCACATAAAACAAAGAATTTTTATGAGATTATTATTATTATTATTATTATTATTATTATTATTATTATTATTATTATTATTATTATTATTATTATCATAGCGGAGATTTTGAGACAAGGACACTCCTGTACTTGGGACTTAATGTCACACTGGTAAAATGTCGCCTGACTTGTTCCAGTTCTTAAGTTTTTCAATTTTAAGTAAGCCTGACATATGCGTGACTGAGAGCTCTTAACATGCATTTCCAACATATTTCTTGCATGTGACACTGGATGATCACCAACACACAGCACAACATTCAGATTTTAAAACAGAGAAGTGAAGTAGGGTCACTGATTTCTGCTTTTAACCCCAACTCACCTGCTTTTTTTTTTTTCCCAAATCCCTGTCTATGTTTTGTCACCTAGATTCCCCCCACCCACCCCCACTCTCACACATCACAACAGCCCCTCCCACCACCACCACCACCACCACCCGCTGCCCCACCCACTCCCCCGAAAGCCGCCAGCAGCAGTCCCTCCATCTCCTTCCATTTCTCTGAAACATTTATGACAGCTGATGTTTAAATCAGGAGTTGGCCTCAGTGTTCACTGTTATAATGGGACAGACCGGGCCAGTGACTCTCCCTTCAGTTTATCACATGTCCATGCTCACATACGTGTACGTGTTTTTACATGCATACACCCACATGCGGTATTGCACATAAAATAAATTAAAAAATAAATAAAATTTAAAAAATAAAACAGAGAGAAAGGCAAACAAACCAATCTGGTCGAGATATGCTCAAAGAAAATAAGCAATCAGGAAGAAAAAGCCCCAAAGCATTCAGGACAAGCTCTTCATCTTTTCAGCTTTATCATAAAATATCCATCATCATTCATTTTTCATGGGGAGGCACGGCTGGTCAAGCAATATCTACTGTTTTTTGTATTTGGTAGTTTCAGTGAAAGATGTAAAAAGCAGCTCTGAATATGTTTATGGCTGGTTTAAAAAAAAAAAACAAAAAAAAAAACAGGCCCGACCATACTGTGTCATTACTGTTGGTAACTGATTGCTCAGTATAAGTGTGAGCTTGTTTTTGAACAATGTCAATGATGTGTATGTGTTTTGGTACTTGCTCTATGACTGTGTGTGCTTGTTTTTGCCAGTGGCCCAGCCCTGCTTTGTCTCCTGTCCTATTTAGTGGTTTGGTGCTAGATTGATGGGAGGGGCGGGGGGGTGGGGGTGGGGGTGTTGGTTGGTTCATATGAGGTATATTAACATATGTCTGGCACGTGACTCACACTGGTGCTCTAGAAAAATATTAGTGAGTGTGTGTGTGTGTGTGAGTGAAGGAACTCAGCTGTGTATCTGTGCGTTACTGCATGTTTGATTATGCAAATGATTTGAATTTCCAAAATCTGTATGTCTGTGTGCCACCTGATTAAATTAAGTCAGTGCCCTGTGGGTGCATGTACGTGTGTGCGAGTGTGTGACTGTTACAGTAGTTTGAATTAATGTGGCGCCTCTGTAAGTGAGAGGGGGTGTGAACTGTCAGGGCTGGTGCTCTGGAACACACCCCTGGAAAGTCTTCAGTTATTGTTCCTCCAACGCGACGCGCAGGCAGACAGAGTACAGACACATGCCGACACACACACACCACATACTCATCACCACATTGACGTCTTTGATTATTGCACAAATTAGTTTATTTAGGTCATCAAAGAGAAAAGGCCCCTGATAAGCTCAGTATCTTTTTATGGCACACATAAGACTTGACTGTAAAATCTGACTCTCAGGACATGGACAAAATACCAGAAAACACCTGGAGTACCGCACAGTGCTTTGCAGGAAATACCAGTATGGTGAAACCCATTCAGAACTCAGAATACCATGCGTTAACTATAATTTGTCAGTTTTTGCAGCTGACAGACCAGTAATTCAAGCAGCTGTTGTTTGCCCTCTTTGTATCTTATGGTGTTTTACAGACTTGCTGTATATAGATTGTACAACAAGACGAGACTAAAGGTCTACAGACAGTCTGTACTTAGGCACAGTGGCTTTGAGTTAAATGCTAATGTCGGAATGAGTGACAGTTGTTAGCATGCTGCTGTTTAGCAGATCATTTTTTTACTGTTGCCATCTCAGTTCAGCATCTTAACTTTGCTAATTAAACACTGTCAACCTCATGGTGGCACTAGAGAAAAAATCAGGCGATCAGCAAAGTCATTCAGCTTCATCTGGAGACCATAAGTTCCTGTCCCACGTTTAACACATCTGTATTTCAGTCTGGACCAAGTGGCAGATTGACTGGCCAGACATGAACGTTCCCCATCCCTCAAGCCACGCCACTAGAGTGGCTAAAAATGCTGACAAAATGCCGTTTGCAATTTGGTTTTAACTTAAAATGAGTCATTGTCTTGTTTCCTCTGTAATTATGTAGCGTACAATGAAAAAATGTGTGATGTGGTACAGAGAAAAGTCTCAAGCACATGCAAAATACAGGAAAACTGCGTTAACAAAGGGGACCAGTGGTCACAAGTACAACATGCAGCAACACTAACCAAAAAAAAAAAAACACAAAAACTTTGGATATTTGCTTCAAAAACTGCACTAACGATCGAGTTGAATCAACACATCCGGGGGTCTCATTAAGATCTGCGGGGCTATTGTATTGTCAGGCGCTTCTGTTATTTTTTCTGCCTCCTTCAAGGTCAGCGCGCTCAAACCACTAAGCAGTACACGGGACACAGAATAATGACACATTGATCTCTCTAAGACAGCATTACACACTTCTTCATTCACGCTAAAGACGTGTCTCGTTGCTACAGCGACACATTTGTGTAAGGTTTAGTCATTTTAATGCAATTAAAGCAAGACGGCTGATTTTTCTTTTTTTTCTAATGGTGTTATTTCACACCTAAATGAGTGTTTTTCTACATGTCTGTGTGGACACAGTGGCAGCGTTTCCAGCAGGCCTCTCTCTCTCTCTCTCTCTCTCTCTCTCTTTTTTTTTTTCTGCATCATTATTGCAACCCGATGTTTCAAACGGGCTTTGAAACGCATATCTGATGGTTCAATACGGATTAACCAGTTTGCGAGGAGGGTCCACCCTGTGAAAACACACTGATGACAATCAGACACACACACACATCATTAGCTGTACCCTCCTAACCCCCAGCGGAGCCCGGCCCTTTGTTTTTAGGCATGCACGTGTGCACACATGGACACTCGTAATGATATGTGTGTGCACATATAATCTTGATCTGCCCTCGGCGCGCCTCTTTTCATCTTTCACACACATGCACACACACATTTTCCTCTCTCCCCTCTCATACACTCTCATACACTCTCTCTCTCTCTCTCTCTC